CTGTATTAGTCAAGGTCCAGGCAGGGAACAGAGGCACACATAACAAATCAATGTACTAGAGGAGAATTTAGAAAGAGAATTTCATAAAAGCATGGGTCAAGGTTAAAAGAAACTTAGAGGGACAGTAAAACAACCGTGGAGAACCAGTACCAACCACAGAAGGACTGTATGCATGATTTGCAGGGCCTCCACTAAAAAAAAAAAAGATTAAGAATTTCACCACAGGGATAGCCTAGCATTACCAAGCATGAGACCCTATATGATCCACAAGTTGCAAGACCATCGATCCTGCCCTGGCCTTTAGGTTTGAAGAGGCAAGGAGGAAAATACGTACGGGAACTTGGAGAGGGTTGTAACTGTATCTTCTGAAGGAGAGTCCACTGGAGGGACATTATGGACTTTGGTAGAATTAAGCCACTTACACTAAACTACTGATTATCTATCTCTGGCTATGAAGAAAGCAATCTGGGGAAATACATATTGTGATCTCATTCTCCTCCTGCCCTCCTGCAATCTCCTGCCAGTGCAGGACAAAGGAATCTAGTTAACGCAGTGCATGGAGGACAGCTTCCAGGGACACAAATCAGGGTGGATGGTGGATTAGGAGAAGCAGGAAGAATATATCAGACATCATCCTGCACATCTTTGTGACGTTATGCTGTTAAATCTGTGAAAGCTAGTAAACCTAATCTATAAGAAATTCAAAAAGATGTTTGACACAATTTCACAATTTTCTTCTATATATGATGGAGAAATATGTACTAGAAGCGAAAAATAATTATGTGGATCAATAATAGGTTAAACAACTCTATCCAGTCTACTGAAAACTGGATCAATGTAAAATTGAAGGGAGTTCTGTATGTATCCCAATTTCTTTACCCTGTCCTATCTAGTTCAGAAGTTTTACTATTGACTTGCAGATATAAAAGGAATGTGTATTAAAGCATGGTTTGCAGATTGCTGAGAAGGACATTGTCTAACCAGGATGAAAGAATTAGAATCCAGAAAGATCTTAACAGGCTGTAGCAATGGAATAAAAAGACCTTGGCCAACTGGAACAATAGAATAAATCTAGCAGTAATAAGTCTTGAGAATTGTTCTCAAATTAAAAAAGGCCGGAAGCATAAGTTTAGGGCAAGGAAGACAATATTTACCAGCTATTAAAATGAATCAGGGAGTTTAGTGGAAGGTAAAGTTAACCTGAGTCATGAGCATAGCAGATCCTCCAAAAGAGCAGATTAGGTTTTAGGCAGTATTAATTGAACAAAGGAGGTGATAATCCAAACTTAGGTTGTGTTGATCAGACCACACCTGGAACATTTGGGTTACTTTTCAATGTCATATCTGAATTGCAGCATAACTAGGATTGGAGAAGAAACTTACAAACTAGGACCAATGACAAAAGCTGGTCTAGCTATAATAACTGATGGAAATGACAACATGAGCATGACACTGTCGAGATTACTACTCAATCAGCAAACCAAAGAAGACCATAGGATATACAGGAGATAAAAGAAACAGTGAGACTTATGAGTAGATGAGGCAACTCTTGCTTCCCTAGTTCTTCCCCTGAAACTTGCAGAGTTAAAAATTCACCAGGACAGAGGATCCTAGAACCAAATCTCACTACATTTTGGAAGGGAAGGGGGATATTATCCCACAGGAATCCACTTTATCACCATATAAAGAAATTCTTACTGTGCCATGGTTATATACTTCTGAATTCTCTTTCTTATTCTATCATTATACCTATTTGTATATAGACCCATGCACTAACACAGAGTAGAAATCATGCCTAGTTAGTAATAACTGAAGAGATCTGGGGACAGTATAAAAGACTACTCAGGAGAGCCATGGCATCCAAAATGTATCCAAATATATTACATGCTACCATGTGGCAGAATAATTATCACTGTCCTCTATTATCTCAAGGAATAAATAAAGGATCCTTAAAAATATCAGAGAGGGTTGGGCATAGTGGCTCACCCCTATAATCCCAGCACTTTGGGAGGCTGAGGCAGGCAGATCACAAGGTCAGGAGCTTGAGACCAGTCTGGCCAGCATGGTGAAACTCTGCCTCTACTAAAAATATAAAAAATTAGCCAGGCGGGATGGCTCATGCCTGTAACCCTAGCACTTTGGGAGGCTGAGGCGGGCAGATCACCTGCAGTCAGGAATTTGAGACCAGCCTAGACAACATGGCAAAACCCTATCTCTACTAAAAATACAAAAATTAGGTGTGGTTGTGGGCACCTGTAGGGTCAGTTACTCAGGAGGTGGAAGCACGAGAATTGCTTGAACCTGGGAGACAGAGGTTTAGCAAGCTGAGATCAGACCACTGCACTGCGACCTGGGCCACAGAGACTTAGCCTCCAAAAAAAAAAAAAAAAAAAAAGTGATCATGTAGGTTATTCTAAACGGACTTTAGTTTTATTCAATTATTACCTTTAAATTGCAACATACAAATAAATCAGCTTTCACAAAATATAAAATTTCAGATAATTCTCAAATACACCATTGAATAATTTCAACTTTCTTTCTTGGCAATAAGGTCAAGCAATTGATTTTAGGGGTCAAAAAGTAGTTGTTAAACCAATATAAATCATGCCTTCATTTGTAGTGAAGGCAAAAGGCTTCAACGTTCCCACTAATTAGAAATATGGAAAATTACTAAACCAATTAATTTACATCTTGTATAATATATAAAGAGAGAAAAGTATAGAGAAAGTAGGTAAAGATGAAAGCATACAAAGTCCCTTTAATGTACAGACAAGTACAACTCTTAATAGGTTATTCATGAATTTTATAGGTTTCATGAATTTATATTGTCAAGCTAAATAGAAAACACAGAGATTCTGCAAAAGAAAATAATGTTTATTCAGAAATAGATATTTCAGTAAGAACATATGTGCCACAGTCAACTATGTGAGTATTCAGGAAAGTAAAGGAAGACAGAGGTTTTAGGATTATGTCACTGTTTTCAGATAATTATTCTTGGCTACAAGGATCAGTAACAACAAGGGTGGTGCCAGGCCAAGGTTAGACAGTTTCTGGGCAGAGGTTCTGAAAAAGGTGTAAGACTGTAAGGTTAAAAATGCTCATCGTCACTGATCATCAGAGAGATGCAAATCAAAACCACATTGAGATACCATCTCACGCCAGTTAGAATGACGATCATTAAAAAATCTGGAGACAACAGATGCTGGAGAGGATGTGGAGAAAAAGGAACACTTTTACACTGTTGGTGGGAGTGTAAATTAGTTCAACCATTGTGGAAGACAGTGTGGCGATTCCTCAAGGCCTTAGAAATAGAAATTCCATTTGACCCAGCAATCCCATTACTGGGTATATATCCAAAGGACTATAAATCGTTCTACTCTAAGGACACATGTACACGAATGTTCATTGCAGCACTGTTTACAATAGCAAAGACCTGGAATCAACCCAAATGCCCATTGATAATAGACTGGCTTGGAAAAATGTGGAACATATATACCATGGAATATTATGCAGCAATCAGAAATGATGAGTTTGTGTCGTTTGTAGGGACATGGATGAATCTGGAGAACATCATCCTCAGCAAACTGACACAAGAACAGAAAATGAAACACCGCATATTCTCACTCATAGGTGGGTGATGAAAAATGAGAACACATGGACACAGGGAGGGGAGTACTAAACACTGGGGTCTATTGGGGGAAAAAGGGAAGGGCCAGTGGGAGGGGGAGATGGGGAGGGACAGCCTGGGGAGAAATGCCAAATGTGGGTGAAGGGGAGAAAGAAAGCAAAACACACTGCCATGTGTGTACCTACGCAACTGTCTTGCATGTTCTGCTCATGTACCCCAAAACCTAAAATGCAATAAAAAATTTAAAAAAAAAAAAGATTGTAAGATTGTGACAGCCTTTATGCAAGATTGTGGTTTTTGTGGACACTTTTGTGATACTTCTTATCAGGCTTTTATGCATGAGAATTCTCCCTTCATGGCTTTTCTCACTTCTATTTGTCAGAGATTTTTTAACACAAGTGCATTTTGATTTTGACTATTTTCACAATATTTACATCATAACTAAAAATAACAATAACTGGCTCCAAAATTAGCTGTTTCACACAAAGATCTTAACTGATAAATATAACAATCATATGGGATATTTTAAAAGGTGGCTGTTTACTAACCTCTGTTAAAAATAGGTCCAAGAATTTTGCACTCAGAACCAAGGATGGAGAGAAAGAAGTCCAGATTTATTCAGCAGAAAGCTCATATTCCTAATCAAGGATCAAGAGGCTAGGCTTACACAGGCTAGAAGCTCACATCCGTACCTAAAGATGAAGAAGGCCTGCATTACACAGCTTGACGCTTATATCCATAGCCAAAGAAGAAGGAAACCAGGTTTCCTACAACCAGAGAGGTCATATCCATCTCCATATAGAAAATAATTCTACGGTTCACATATCCAAGATATGCATATCTACATCTCAGAAACAAAGAAATTAGCCACTAATTCACTAATGGTGGGAACGTAAAATGATACAGCCACTCTGGAGAAGTGTCTGGGCACTTCCTAAAGCCCTAAATAAATACACAACCATCATACCACCCAGCAATTACAGTTCTGGGTTTATCTTAGGGAAATGAAAATCTAGGTTTCTACAAAAACCTGCCCATGAATACTCATAACAGTGTGATGTGTAATAGCCCCAAAGAGGAAAGGACCCTTACAGTCTTTTAAACAGGTGATTAGTTAACTGACTGTGGTACATCCATACCACTGAAAAGTACTCAGCAATAAAAAGGGAACAAAGTATTGACACCTTGGTACCACTGAAAACTCACTTCCTAGTACAGAAAACAGTTGGGGCATACAAAGTAAACACACTGAACCAATTTGCAGAGAACAACGCCAAGGGCAGAAAAGCCAATCCCACAAGCTTGCATATTATGCAATTCCATTTAAATAGAATTCTTGAAATGGCAAAATTCTGTAAGTGGGGAACAGCTTAGTGGTTGCCAGGCATCAGGGCAATGGAGAGGGAGAGAGGTGGTTGGCACTTGAAGGACAATGGGAGGAAAGGGTCTGTATGTCGAGGGCACTGAGGTATTACAGGTGGGGAAAATGAGTAAAGGGTTACACAGGGATCTCTGTTTTATCTGTTATAAGTGCATGTGAATCCTCCATGAACTGGCGAGAAGTAGTTTAACTATAAGAAATAGAGTTGAGCCCTCCACTACTGGTACAGTTTGACTTGAGTATTCTGCCAACAGACTGACCTAGCAGATCAGTCCCCAGACCGGGCTCTACCCCTGGGAATGGCACCCCTTTCCAGAGGAGCCATTCCCCAAATGCCCCAGGATAGGAATTGGCGCGGAAGGAGAACCAAGCCGGCGATGGAGACATTCGCTACTAGACACGGGAACGCCCAGAGCCAACGCTAAGCAGCAGCCTCCTCACTGGACTGCGGCCCCCACGAGCGAGCTGCTGCTGCCGCTAACAAAGAGAAGGCCTTGGGAAGGCTGCGCTGAGTGGAGACTAAGCGCAGTCCGCGGCGGCGCTATTTGAAAGCCGGCACAGATCCACCCAAATAGAGTCCTCACCGACTGGGGCGCTCCCGCGGGAGTTCCGCGCCTCCCTTCCGCCAGGTGGAGTCAGGACTCGCACGGGAACCTCCGCGGTTCATAGGTCACATCCTGGCTGAAGTAAACTCCACTCAGGAAGGCTTCAGGGGCGCGACCCCAGCGTCTTTCCTCAGCCCACGCCCCGGCGCCAAGCAAAGACGACCCTTCGCCAGCCCTCTCCTCTCGCGGCGTCCTACAGGTCCCAGAATCCTCTCCGGAGCTGCGCTGAGGGAAGGCGGGAGCTCAGTCGCGCACCAGGCCTCCGCCGCCATGGCCCAGCTGCGAGCCTGCGAAGTCCGGCAGCTGCTGCACAACAAGTTCGTAGTGGTCGTGGGGGACTCGGTCCAGAGGGCCGTGTACAAGGACCTGGTGCTCCTGCTACAGAAGGACTGCCTGCTGTCCTCCAGTCAGCTGAAGGCCAAAGGCGAGCCGAGCTTTGAGCGTGACACGCTGCTGGTGGGCTGCAGGAGCCGCCACATGCACGACAGCAGCGACTACCGTGAGGTGCGCCAATTCCACTCCGGCCACCACCTGGTGCGGTTCTACTTCATCGCGCGCGTGTTCTCGCACTACGCGGAGCGCGTCGTGGAGGAGCTGCGTCGGGCCGAGCCCGCCCCTGACGTAGTGGTCATGAACTCCTGCCTTTTGGACCTCTCCAGGGATGGCCGGGACTGCCTCAGGAGCTACCGGCAGAACCTGGAGAGCCTGTTCGCGCGGCTGGACCGGGCGCTGCCCGTGTCCTGCCTCCTGCTATGGAACACGGCCATGCCCGTGGCGGAGACCATCTCAGGGAGCTTTCTCCCACGCGAGCACCGGCTCCGCCGCTCCCGCCTGCGGGAAGACGTGATGGAGGCCAACTTCTACAGCTCCGCCGAGGCCGTGAGGCGTGGCTTCGACGTGCTGGACCTGCACTTCCACTTCCGCCACGCCACGCGCCACCGGCTCCCCGACGGCGTGCACTGGGACGAGCACGCACACCGCCACCTCTCCCAGCTGCTGCTGGCCCACCTGGCAGATGCCTGGGGCGTGGACCTACCCCAGCGCGAAGCCGTGGACTGGTGGGTCAGGCATGGCCACGCTGACAGACGTGCAGTCCTGGCGGGCAGAAGGCAGCCCCGAAACCACCGAGCGGACCCACACAGCCGAAGGGACCGAGCTGACCCACATGGCCGAGCCGACTCACGTGGCCGAGGGGACCGGGCAGTCCGAGGAGACCTCCATGACCCTCGACAGCTCTCTTCATCGTTTCCCTGGGCTCGGCCGCCTTTCTCTCCCAGCCGGCAGGACATCTATTTGCCCTCCCACCGGCATTTCTCCAGCGACTTCACCAGAGGCCACATCAGACACCGCAGCGAAGAAAACTCCAGGGTTGGTCGTGACTCGCGGCCGGGCCCCATCCGCACAAGGTCTGCCCATCACCTAGAGAGGGGGTCTTCCCCTTACCGTCGCAGGCACCCCAGCGAGCCACACCGAAGCCAGCAAGGCCACGCACACACACACGGAGGGGTCCCAAGAACACCTAGGACCAGGCCTCAGTAGCCAGACCCGGGAGAACGTCTGGTCTTCCCCTGCATGGTGGATGGGCTGCCTGACCACTATCACTCGGGCCTGGCCTTCAGCAACCCTGCTGAACTTGGATCATCTTTATGCTTCCGACTCTCATTAGTGAACCGCCTGCCACAACAATCCTCTGCCAGAGTTTCCACTTCTTGGGAAGGGAGCAGAGACCCAGACCACCAGGCGGTTCTCGAAGCATTTAGGAAGAAAAGAAGTCTACATGAAAGTGCTCCTCGCCTTAAAAAAAAAAGTTAAGCCATACTCAATATTTAAGTCTGTCATCAGGCAGTATTTTTCCATTGACATTCTTCCAAAAACGAAACAAGGTAAAAATTTTGATCCTTAGAACTTAAACATTTCGATTTCAATTAAGATTTCCATTTCGCCATTTGTTTATGCGTATGTTCATAGAAGTTTATATCTAAAGCTTTCGCCATAAGTTGTCTTACAGATTCTTTAATTACATTTCTCTGTGCTTCAACATAGCATTTGTCTGTTAAAAATAATCCATTCACTAATTCAAGGTTGTTTATTGTCTGTTAGAAACATAATCTTTAAAGTTCATCAAATGCCTAGCACATTTTTAAAAACAGACTTTTTACTTTTTTTTTTTTTTTTTTTATTGAGACAGAGTCTCACTCTAATGCCTAGGCTGGAGTGCACTGGCTCAAGTGATCCTCCTGTCTCAGCCTCTCAACTAACCGGGACCACAGGTATGCACCACCATGCCTGGCTAATTTTTTAAAATTTTTGTGGAGATGAGGTCTTGCCACATTGTCCAGGCTGTTCTCAAAGTCCTGGACTCAAGCAGTCCTCCTGCTTAGACCTCCCAAAGTGTTGGGATTACAGATGTGAGCCAGGGCACCTGACCTAGAATTTAATTTTTAGAGCAATTTTAGGTTCACAGCAAATTTGAGTGCATATACTCTTTTGATTTCACACAGGCACAGCCTCCCCCACTATCAACATTCCACATCAAATGGTACATTTGTTATCTCTGATGAACCTGCATTAACACATCATTATCACCCCAGCACAATAGTTCATTAGAGTTTATTATTGATGTTCTCCATTCTATGGGTTTTGACAAATATATAATGGCACGTATCATCCATCATTATAGTATCATAAGAATAGTTTCACCATCCTGAAAATCCTCTCTGCTCTGTCTTTGCATCCTTCCTGCTCCCCAACCCCTGGAAACCATGGATCTGTAACTGTCTCCATAGTTTTGTTTTTTTTTCCAAGATACTATATAGTTAGACTTAAAATATGTAGCATTTTCAAATTGGGTTCTTTTGCTTAGGAATTTAAGTTCCCAGCTTGTCTTTTCATGGCTTAAGAACTCATTTATTTTGATTTTTTTTTTTTCCTGAGACTGAGTCTCACTCTGTCACCTAGGCTGGAGTACAGTGGCACAATCTCAGCTCACTGCAATCTCCACCTCCCAGGTTCAAGCAATTCTCCTGCCTTAGCCTCCTGAGTAGCTGGGATTACAGGCGCACACCACCATGCCCAGCTAATTTTTGTATTTTTAGTAGTGATGGGGTTTCACCATATTGGCCAGGCTGGTCTCAAATTCCTGACCTAGTGATCCACCCACCTCAGCCTCCCAAAGTGCTGGGATTACAGGCATGAGCCACCACGCCTGGCCTTTAATTTTATTTTCAATTTATTTTTAATTTTTATGAGTTTATACTTATGGAGTACATGAGATTTTTTTTATACAGGCATGCAATGTGAAATAATCACATCATTGAGACTGGGGTATCCATCCCTTCAAGCATTTATGCTTTGTGTTACAAACCAATTACATTCTTGGTTATTGTAAAGTGTACAATTAAGTTATTATTGACTATAGTCACACTGCTATGCTATCAAATAGTAGGTATTATTCTATTTTTTCTATCCAACAACTCATTTATTTTTAGTGCCAAATAATATTCCATGGTCTGGATGTACCACTGTTTATCCATTCACCTGCTGAAGGACATTATGGTTGTTTCCAAGTTTTGGCAATTATGAATAAAACTGTAATAAACCTCTGTGTGCAGGTTTCTTGTAAATAAAATATAATTTGAATGATTATTAAGGAATGTAACTGTGGATCATGTGGTAAGAGTACATTTAGGTTTGTAAGAAACTACCAAACTGTCTTTCAAAGTGGCTATACCATATTGCATTCCCATCCACATCCTTGGAATCATTCGCTGTTATCAGTGTTTTGGAGTTTCTCTGAAAAGTATATGGTCTGTGTCCAGATTTATGTTTTTATTTATTTTTGCATGCAGATATCCAGTTGCTTCAACACTATTTGTTGAAAAGACTGTCTTTTCTCCATTGTCTTGCCTTTCCTCCTTTGTCAAAGTTCAGGTGACAAAGATATTTGTGGGTGTCTATTTCTAGGTTCACTGTTCTGTTCTATTGACCTGTCTATTATTTTGCCAATACTAAACTATCTTGATTACTGTAACTTTATAGTAAGTCTTGAAGTCAAGTAGGGTCATTACTCTGACTTAGTTTTCCTTCAATATTGTGTTGGCTACTGCGGATCTTTTGCCTCCTCATATAAAATTTTAGAAGCAGTCTGTCAAGGTCCACAAATAGTTTGCTGCAATTTCCCTTGAGATTACATTTACTCTACAGATGAAGTTAGGAAGAACTAACATATTGACAATATTGTCTTTGAGATATCTCTTGAGATTTCTTCTTTGATCCAACTGTTATTTACAAGTGTGTTGTTTAATCTTCCAGTATTTGGTGATCTTCAAGCTACCTTTCTGTTACTGGTATCTACTTTAATTTCATTTGATCTGAGAGCAGATATTGTATGATTTCTATTTTTAAATTTGTTGAGGTGTGTTTTATGGCCAAGAATGTTGTCTGTCTTGGTGAATGTTCCATGTGAGCTTGATAAGAAGGTGTCGCCTGCTGTTGTTGGATGGAATATTTTATCGATGTCATTTATATCCAGTTGATTGATAGTGCTGTTGAGTTCGACTATGTCTTTACTGCCTGCTGAATCTGTCCATTACTGATAGGTGTTAAAGTTTCCAACTATAATAGTGTATTCATCTATTTCTTTTTGGAGTTATAAGTTTTGCCTCGTGTATTTTAATACTCTGTTGTTCAGTGCATACACATTAAGGATTGTTATGTCTTCTTGGAGAATTGACTCCTTTTATCATTATGTAACGTCCCTTCTTATCTGTGATAGCATTCCTTGCTTTGAAGTCTGTTCTATCTGAAATTAATGTAGCTACTGAGTTTTCTTTTGATTAGAGTTATTATATCTTTCTCCATCCCTTTATGTTTAATCTTGATGTGTCTTTATACTTAAAGTGCATTTCTTGTAGACAATATATAGTTGGGTCTTTTGATCCATGCTGACAATCTCTTTTAGTTGGTGTTAACAACAATTAATGTTTAATTATTGATAATGTTGGATTAATATCTTCTTTATTTGTTACTGTGTTCTAGTCATTGTTTTTGGTTTTTCACTCTTTTTTGCCTTTTGTAGTTTAACTGAGAATTTTGTGTGATTCCATTTTTTTCTCCTTGACATACCAACTACAGTCTACTTATTTACAGTTTTAGTGGTTTCTCTGGCATTTTCAATATGTATTTGCATCTAATCCAAATCTACTTTTGAATAACACTGTACTGCCTCATGGGTAGTGCAAAGTTAGCCATAAGTTAGAATCACTAAATACATTATTGCCATTATTATTTTTAGCAAACTGTTGTATATTCAACTAAGTAAGAACAGAAAAATAAGTTTTTGTTTTACCTTCACTTATTCCTTCACTGATGCTCTTTTTTATGTAAAGCAAAATTTCTGACCTATATTATCCCTCTCTGAAAAACTTCTTTTAACATTTTTTGCAAGGCAGGTTTACTGGCAACAGCTTCCCTCTGGTTTTGTTTGTCTGGGAAAGTCTTCACAGGTTTATCTCAGAGATATTGTGGGTTTGGTTCCAGAACACCACAGTAAAGCAAATGTCTCAAAGCAAGCCATGAATTTTTTGGTTTCTTAGTGCATACAAAAGTTATGTTTACACTCTACTGTAGTCCATTAAGTGTGCAATAGGAGCAAGTCTAAAGAACCCAATGGACATAATTTAAAAATTTTTATTGCCAAAACTTGCCAACAATCATTTGAGCTTTTAGTAAGTTATAGTCTTTTCATTGGTGGAAGGTCTTGCCTCCATATTGATGGTTACTGACTGATAGGGTAGTAATTGCTGAAGGTTGGGGTGGCTGTGGAAGTTTCTTAAACTATAACATTGAAGTTTGCTGTATCAATTGACTCTTTGTTTCACAAAATATTTATCTGTAGCATGCAATTCTGTTTGATAGCATTTTACCCACAGAACTTCCAAACTTGAATCAATCTTCTCAAACCCTGCTACTGCTTTATAAACTAAGTTTATAATATTTTAGATCTTTATTGTCATTTCAACAACATTCAGAGCATCTTCACCAGGAGAAGTTTCCATCTCAGGAAACTATTTTTTGTGCTCATTTGTAAGAACAACTTCTCATTTGTTTAAGTTTTATGAAATTGTAGCAATGCAGTCACATCTTTGGGCTCCACTTCTAATTCTAGTTCCCTTGCTGTTTCCGCCACATCTGTAGTTATTTCCTTCACTAAAGTTTTAAGCCCCTCAAAGTCATCCGTGAGGGTTTGACTCAGCTTCTCCCAGACCCCTGTTAATATTGACATTTTGACATGTTCCCATGAATAAAGAATGTTCTTAACAGCATCTAAAGTGGTGAATTTTTTCCAGAATATTTTCAGTTTATTTTGTCCAGATTAATCAGAGGAATTACTATGTATGGCAGCTCTAGCTTTATGAAATTTATTTCTTAAATAATAATTAAAAGTTGAAATTGCTTCTTGATCCATGAGGCAGAATGGATGTTGTGTTAGCAGGCATGAAAACAGCATTAACCTGGGCCAGGCGCGGTGGCTCACGCCTGTAATTCCAGCACTTTGGGAGGCCGAGGTGGGCGGATCACGAGGTCAAGAGATTGAGACCATCCTAGCCAACATGGTGAAACCTCATCTCTACTAAAAATACAAAAATTAGCTGGGTGTGGTGGCGCATGCCTGTGGTCCCAGCTACCGGGAGGCTGAGGCAGCAGAATTGCTTGATCCCAGGAGGCAGAGTTTGCAGTGGGCCGAGATGAGCCCACTGCACTCCAGCCTGGTGCCTGGTGACAAAGCAAGACTCTGTCTCAGAAATAAAAAAGATTAACCTGTTTCTGTATCTCCATTGTAACTTTTGAATGATCAGGCGCATTGTCAATGAGCAGTAATATATTGACAGGAATTTTTCTTTTTCTGAGCAATAGTTCTCATCAGTGGGCTTAAAATATATATTAAGAACACCATGCTATAAACAGATGTGCTGTCATCCAGGTTTTGTTGTTCTATGTTGAACACAGCCAGAGTAAATTTAGCATAATTCTGAAGGGCTGTAGGATTTTCAGAATGGTAAACAATCATTGGCTTCAACTTCAGGCCACCAGCATTAGTTCCTAACAAGATTCTTCCTGTCCTTTATAGCCTTGAAGCCAGGTATTGACTTATTTAGGTATGAAAATCCTAGATGACATCTTCCAATATAAGACTCTTCCATCTACAATGGAAATCTGTTGTTAGTATGTCCACCTTCATCATTATCTTTGCTAGATCCACTAGCTTTCTGCTTTTCTTCTGCAGCTTCCTCACCTCTTGGCCATCAAAACACTGAAGAGAGTTACAGCCTTGCTCTGGATTGGGCTTTGCCTTAATGGAATGTTGTAGCTGGTTTAGTCTTCTATCCAGACCACTAAAACGTTCTCCATATTTGCAATAAGGTTGTTTTGCTTTCTTACCATTCGTGTGTTCAGTGGAGTAGCACTTTTTATTTACTTCAAGAACTTTCGCATTCATAAGTTGGCTAAACTGTTTAACACAAGAGGCCTATCTTCCAACTTACCTTGCATTTTGACTTGCCTTCCTCACTATAGTTAATCATTTCCAGCTTTTGATTTTAAGTGAGAGACCTGCAACTCCTCCTTCTACTTGAACATTTAGAGGCTCTCATAGGGTAATTAATTGGCCTAATTTAAATATTGTTGTGCTTCAGAGAAAATGGAGGTCTGAGGCAAGGCAGAGGGATAGGGGAATGGCGAGTCAGTGGAGCAGACAGAGCACACTCGACATTTATCAGTTAGTTAAGCTTGCCCTCTTATATGGGTGCAGTTCATGGCATCCCAAAACAATTACAGTAGTAAAATCAAAGATTGCTGAACATAAATAATCATAACATATAATAATAAAAGTATGAATTATTATGAGAATTATTAAAATATATTACAAAGCACATGTTGGGAAAATATCATGGGTATACTTGCTCAATACAGGATTGCCACAAGCCTTCAATTTGTAAGAATCACATCTGCAAAGTGCTGTAAAGTGAAGCATAATACCATCAGCTATGTTTGTACTTCTTCACTTTAAAGAATAATGTACAAGATACAACATTGTGGGTTGGTGGGTTTTTTTTCCCCCTTTTCCTCAACATTTTAAATATATCACTCTACTCCTTGCTTTTTAGTTTTAGAAGTTTCTATGAACATATCCTCAAGCTCATTAATTCTTTCTTCAGGTGTGTCTAATCACATCATCAAAGGCATTCTTCATTTCTGTTACAGTGTTTTTGGCTTCTACAATTCTTTTTGATTCTTTCTTAGAATTCCATCTCTCTGCTAAATTCCCTATCTGTTATTGAGTGTTGTCTACCTTTTTCTATTAGAATCCTTTGCATATTAATCATAGTTCTTTTAAATTACTGGTTTGATAATTTCAACATACCTACTATATCTGAGTTTGGTTCTGAGCTTGCTCCGTCTCTGCAACTGGGAGGGGGGCGGGGGGGTTCTCTTTTTTCTTTTTTTGGCCTTTTAGTATGCCTTGTAGTTTTTGTTGAAATCTGGACATGATGTACTGGGTAAAAGGAACTGCAGTAAATAAGCCTTTAGTTATATGGTAGTAAGGTATGGTGGAAGGAAAAGCATTTTATGCTCCTGTGATTAGATCTCAGTCATTTAATGAGGCTGTATTGCTGGGCTCTAATATTCACAAATGCTTCTAAGTTTTTGCCTCCACTTAGTGGGACAAAACAGGATGGCTACAGGGGGCTGGAGTTGGGTGATCCCTTCTGTGATGTCAGTTAGGCTCTGATAAAACCCCAGTAGATTAGGTTCCAGCAAAATAGTTTCTCCTGAGGGAAGCACTTGTTAGGAAGAACAGAATTCTCTGAACATATTTCACAGGCTGTTTTTTCCCTCTCCATGCAGAAAGGCTGTTTTTTTTTCCCTCTCCATGCAGAAAGCGTAAGGTATTCCTTTCCTTTCTACCATGAGAACCTGATAAAGCTCTGGGAAGTAGAACCCAGAAAACATGGGGCTCACCTAAAACTGGGCTCCCCTGGAGATTTTAGCATTCAGATTTGTTCATTCATAAGGAGACTTCAGCAATTAGTCAATCACAGTTTAAGTTTTCCTCTCTCAAACCACTTCCCATAAGGTTTATTCTCCCTTAAGTTGTGCTTCTCTGTTTCTGCCGGTCTGTCTCCAATTTTGGGGATAGTGGTTTGCCCTGTGTTCTCAATTCTCTGAAGGATCTAAGATTTGTTACTTTTCAGTTTATTCAGTATTTTAACTGTTAGAATGGAGTGATGACTTCCAAGCTTCTTACATGCTGAACCAAAACTGGAACTCCTGTCTAGCACGTTTTGAAGTGGCCCAGAGAACTGAAACACATTACAGTATAAGCTACAGCTCCCACTAAACAATTTTTATTGTCTATTTTTATTCCTTAACGTTACTTCTTTCATAGTTTATGCTTTTTTAAAATAAAAACTTTTGGTTAAGAAATTGGTCTACTTCCCCATCAACTATCTTTGGTTAGAAGTTTACACTGATGACCCCTTCCAGTAATACTACCCCCCTCTACAACAAGTCAAAGTGTGGGTTTATTACAGGCTGCCCTAAATCTCTGTCTTTGCATCCTTTCCCCAGCTTTACTGCGGCATATTCTTGGGGTAGAAGCCCTTCTGCCAGGCTGCCTGCAGCAGAAGGAACATGCAAAGTAAATAAGACAAAATGAACATCATCACACATTCAGCTTCATTACGTGAACGGGAAATTGAAAGCAACATTTCCATCACATTTTCTCAATAATCAATGCCATGGAATTTTAATAATGAAAGATAAAGATTAGTACATTATGATGTAGAGTGTTTTCAGGGAACCAGGATATTACCTGAAAATAAATAGAATTGAACATTCCCTCACTGTTAAGTTTATGCTGGGTCCTCTTATGTCTCACTTACCATAATTCTCTATAGCAGGTCCCTTTGAAAAAGGTGCCATTCTTATCCCATCCTTTGTTAGACTATCCCCATGTTTTCATAGATCATAAACTCACTAATGCATACACATGGCAGACCAAGTCTCATCTCATTGCATCTTGTGTCACGGTGCACCCATCAATCCACTGTGCACTGAGAAAAGACTACAGCCCTACAACCTCTTTACTTGGGTTTTGTGCATGCTGCTTAAATTCACTGCATCTGTCAAGCCGTTCTTTATCGAAGAGTCTAACAGCCTTTGAGTGCACGGTGCTCTATCACTTATGTAGGGGTTATATTGATCTTTCTGGTGTGAGCTCTAAAGTGGCTGGCATCAAAAGCCAGTGAAGCAGCCAGTTTGAGCAGTGTGGGCCATTTACAAACTTCAGGATGAGATGCTGCAGGATGCCAGGGAAAACGTTTTTGTTTTTCCAGAGGGAACCATAGTTCATGAAATGTGGTTAATGTACCATATTTGTATACCCTTAAAATCATTTTATAACCACACTGAGTGCCTCTAAACATTAAATATATTTTATAAGTAGTTGGTTAACTAGCTGTTGTATGCTTTAAATAGTAAATAAAATGGAAAGGCACTAAATAGTGACTATATTTCATAGAGTAAGATGCTTTTCCAGCCACTCAATAATTCTCAATGTTAAGAAAAATTGATTTTAGAGGCTGAGTGCCTCTAAAAATTAGCATCTTATCTTCCTACAGGGGATGATATTCAGTTAGTCTACTTTCCTCCAGCTTTTGACTTAATGGTCTCTAAGGCCTCTCCCTTCTAAAAAATTCTGTAGGTACTGTTAGATTATGATTTGAGCACATATGTAATTAACTGGGCAAAATATAAAACAGGAACTCGTTCCATTTTGTTTTTTTGAATCTTCATTGCAAAAGAAGTAGCTCTTCACCCACTGACCATTCCATAACTCCCATCTCTTTTCTCTCCCTACCAAAGACTGCATAGAGTCCTAGCACTGCATAGAGAGACCTAGGGCAGTGACATAGAATTTAAGGATACTAATTCCCCCGCACCTTCACTTGGTATATTTGAATAATGAATGCATTTTACATTTGTGAAAGCCTAATAGGAGAAAGAAATTCCCTAAGAGGTGTTAATAGTCACATCTTTTTCATGGCAAATTAAATCAGTTTCCTAATTCTTCAGCAACTCAGACCTTTAAGAAAGTCATGTTGCTAATATTGAGACTTGTAAGATAAATAGAATAATAGCTGACAGCATCACAGAACTTGAGAACTGAAGTACTCAGACACTCCATAGTTACAGAAAACTGTGTTAAAAGAAGATGCAACTCTTAGTTCTGCCTAAACCACAACCAGCTGGGTGACCCTTGAGATGTCAGAGGGCATCCTTGAGTAATCTGTTATAACCTTGTTAATGTAACTCATCAGTCAAATG